TCCATTGACCTCGGGCGTCTCACTCTTGCGTGGACCCGATAGTCACTGCGCATAAGCCCTATGATTAGGTCGACCAACTCGTACTCTGTGAGCCTTGAGTCGAGACGACGGGCTAGCTGGCTCTTCCACATTACAAACTCCCCTAGGGATTGACGTTCGCCTTGGTGAGCACTGTGGAGATCATTGCGTACTTGGGTAAGTATAGCAATGCTATTGAACCTCCTCAAAAATTGTTGTCGGAACACTGTCCATGTGGGGTTCAAGCAGCGTATAGTACCCCACCAGTTACCTGCCTCTGCTTTTAACTGTGGGGACAGTACACGTACCCACTTCTGGTGTGGTACGTTCGCTTCGGTTAGGACCATTTCAGCCTCTTCAATGAAAGCGTTGGGATCCTCTTGTTTCTTTCCGGAAAACTCCGGCAGAGAATCACGCGCCAACGTTAGGCTATCGTGGGACAGTAACGACGTTTCGTTAAAAGTAACGTGTCGTTGCTCCCTGGTCCTATTGTCCGGACGGGAACGACTTTCAGATCGTTCTACTCCGTTAAATCCTTGGTTTTGACCGAAGGTTTCTGGATTTTCACCGAAGAACTGTATGTTCTGGTGATGGTCCTTGGTCGTCCGGTTACTTTCAACGATGCGATGCGACCGCGACACAACCCGTCATTTTTGTAATTAAATTATTTTACTATTTTATAAGCTAATTAAATAAATACTTAGAAATTATAAAAAATGAAGTTAATTTCCCTTTAAGTTATAAGAGATGGTACATAAAAATAATTAATAGCTGATAAATCAAGAATTATTCAAACCAAATTATTATTATTGAAATTATTCAATATATGTAACTATATAAAACCATAATTTTATTTTTCAGTGTTGAATTTATTTTGCATGTAATTGAGTTGATAAAATTGATTATACGAGTTATCTCCCTTAACTCTTTATATAATTTAAAAATGATAATACATAATTTTGTTTACAGGATTCATATCAATTGAATAACGAATAATTTATGACTTTGCTGTAAGAATTTTACCAAGTCCACAAATACTTATATAGAAAGACATATTAATTTATCTTTATTCTATATTCAATATGAATTTTAAATAATATATTTTAAAATGTATTTTACGCTTTCAAACGACATCTCTTTTGGAGTTATTATATAATAATATTTTAAAAATCAAACTATGTTTTGTTAATGCGACTTAAATGGAGTAATACCTTAATCTAAAATTATTTTTGAACATGTCCATTTTTCCTTATTGAAAATTATAATTATATTATTTATATTGTAAATATTAATAAATATAACAAAATACGATATCTTTAAATGCCTTGAATTACATGACGTGTGTTAATAGCATCAAGGAACAGCTGTATAAAAAAATTGTTCATCCAAAAACTTGGCAACTACAATAAATCTCAAGTTAAAAATTCGATGTTTTGATACATAAGGTAAATTTTTTTACCCAACAAAAGTATTACAAATTTTTTATTTCTCAAGAGTATTGGATGAATTGAATATTTTAATTAATCATAAATGTCAGTTTTTTATATAATCAAACATGAATTAAGAATCAGTATTGGGTAATTTATATACATTAATTATAAATTTTGAAAAAATAAACAAATACTTGGTTTAATTGTTGTAATTATACAGAATGTTTAAAAACATTCAGAAACATTCTTTATTTTTTAAGCACCTCATTTGAGTAGGTTAGAATCAAAATTCACAAACAACGACAAAACACAATAAAACAGAAAAAATAATTTACTAAACAACAATAAATATTACGTATGTTTTAGGAATTATTAAGAAATATATTTTTTACACTTTTTTGTTGATTAGTATACTCTTTTTTCAGTTTTTTCGAATACTTCTTAATAGTAACTTGTGAATTTTGATTTTAGATTAGGTTAAATTATATTATAATTTGTACCTTGATAAATCAGCAAAAAAAAATTAATTCATAGTAAAAAAAAAAGTTTAATTTTATTATGTTGTTGTTTTACAACGAGTCTTAGGTACAATTATTTTTCTACATTATCACTATATATAAATTATAGAAAATATAATTATTTTACAAATATTTTACACAAATCACAATAAGTTGTCTATAACGACCAATATTTTAATTGTTGACACAATAAGCCCTAGAAACGAATTATCACCTACATTTTTCAATTATAAAAGTATTAATTCTTATTATAACACAATTAAATAAATTGCAAAAAAATGTTTGGTAATGTAATTACGGTAATTATAAAAATATAAAATTTCTAAACGAAAAATAAATTTAACCATTATTAAATTAGTATTTATAACAATAAGGCTTAGAACGAAAAATTTCGCATCATTTTATGTGTATTTTTTAATAGAATATAAATTTTAATAAACGCATCTAAAAATAAAATATCGCAAAATCAATGATAATAGGTGGGTTTAAGTATTGTTTGCTAAAAGTAGGATTTACATAGAATATGATAGTCCATTAATGATCTCTAACTTGGTCTGATTAAAATAATAGTATTAATATTTTATACATTCTAATGTTTATTTTTATTATTATCCGATTCATCCACTAAACTCTCTAAATCCACGTAGCTTCCTTCGAATTCAGGATTTTCAAGTAGTGCGGCCAATTCTTGTTTAAGCTCAGCAAATGTAGGTCTCTTGGCTGGGTCGGCTATCCAACACTTTGTAATCACACGGAAAAGTTCCGACCGACAATGTGCTGGCTTTTCCAATCTATAACCTTCGCGTACCCGACGCATTACTTCACGAGCACCCATGGTACAGTAAGGAGTTGAACCTACAAAATATTAAACAATACGTTTTTTATGACGATATTCGCAAGTATTAGCCTTTATTATCAATAGTAGTAAGACACAGTTGTGAGTTTATAAATACACTAACTGCCAATACAGAAATTAATATAATTTTTTAAACACGCTTTTAAAGCACATCGAACTAAAAAGTTAAAAATTGTTTTTAAAAATATTTTTCATGGCTCCATAATTAATTTATTACTAATATAACAAAACGCATTAAAGTTATAAGACAGTTAAACATAAAAATTCGTATAAAATACCGTTAAATAGAATAACGTTTATTTATTCATTAGTATGTTATTTTTACAATCTCCATAATTATTTTTATAATCACTAGCAACTTGTAACAAAAAACTGTTTTTGGCTTTCATCACCTGTTTATATATAATTATAGCCTAAAATAAACCCCTCTTTAAACTATATCATTAACAAATAGTAATTTTCATTTTGCCGTTTAAATAGTTTTTATTTTTTGCTGAATATCTGAATTAAATTGAATAAATAAAGTTTTAAAATTATATTATTTAATATCAAATATATAAATTTTAATAATATTTATAAGAATACTTTTTATAGAAAATTATTCTTCTTTTTCCTTGTTTTAATCCCAACTATTTTGGGGTCAGTGACAGAAACAATTGTTGGTCGACATTTTATAGATAATTATTAAATATTCAATTGATGTTATTTTTATGGTAAAAATTGTATTTTTTCAGTAATCTACAAAAAAACTAAAAGACCATCCCTAAAATTAAATTTTCAACTCTTGTAGAACGTTTTAAGGTTATTGATCAATCATGATTTAATTTTGTAGAACTTATTTATTTTTTGGTAGAATAATTTTGGGAAATGAGAAGGTAGAATTTCCAAATCAAATTCTCATTCTATAGATAGGGGCCACCCTAATGCTTATAAAAAAAACCTATGAGTGCTAAATCTTTTGAGAAAAAATTATTGTGCTATAACCTCGCTTATAAAATGTATTATATTTAACCCAAATTTTTATCAATTGGTAATATTTACCTAGCGTCACGATTTCCCACATGAGTACGCCAAAGCTCCATACGTCAGTCTTGTAAGTAAATATGCTGTAATGCAATGATTCCGGTGCCATCCACCGTATGGGCAGTGCACCCTAATTAAATAAAAGAAATTATTAATGCACACATATTTATCATATTTATAGCTCAGGATAATAAAGGAACTCATTTTCATAATATAAAAAAATATGTGTTTTTATAAGATAAAGTCTATCTTACATCTACATAATAAATTGTAATGTGTTACAATCGCGACAAGGTATTTTAATTTAAATAGACTCTAAGATTATATTGAATATAAACCTTACCTTGGTGTGTCTTTGTTCGTAAATCTGATTAGTGTCGCGGACATTTCGTGACATGCCAAAATCAGCGATTTTACATAGTTTATTGTGATCGACCAGAATATTTCTCGCTGCTAAATCTCTATGAACTATCTATTTAACAAGCAAAGAAATATATAAGATTGTATCGTCTAAAATATAACTAATGGATAAAGAATTAAAATAAATAGAAAATACATACATAAAGCTGTATAATAGTGGTAAACTATACCAAGTTACATTATTTTAAGAAATGAGGCGAGATTATTCTTGTAATGCTTATTTAAAAAAAAATGCTGCTTGGAATAGTTTACCTCTGGTATACAGATAATATACATAATATAATATTATATATATATACAATTTTTTTTTTTTTATTAAAGTTAATAAGATTTACTAATTTAATTGATTTATTGACTGTATCATCTACTAAGGTAAAATATTACAAAAAGTAATATAGAATTAAAATCTTCAAATAAATAATACAACTTTAATTATTTATTTAAATATATTATATAAAATGCATTTTGAACAAATTATATCTAAATATTATTAAATGATCTATACAAATTTTGTACAGATACCTACATCATCTTTAATATACATTTGTTTAAAAATAATATTTTTTAATAAAAAGCATCATTACTTTTTTTGATCCTAAGAAGTCCATTCCTCTCGCTACACAATAAGCGAACATAGTTAGGTCTCTAGACGTTAATGAAGCGGTCGAATCGCTAAAATTAAAGTAATGTGATCGTGTTCGTCGGTCTCTGAGGAATGCCAATAGTTTGCCGTACATTACGTATTCCATGATCAGCAAATACGGTTCTGAAACAAATGATTAACTTCGATTACCTAAGGTGTGCCATTTATTTAATGCACATACATGCAACATGCTTTAGTTAAATTGTGTGCATAACTGAAGTCGAATTTACAACGTAACTACATTATCTATATTATTATAGTAACATTGTATACCATACCTTTCTCAGTACAGCATCCCAATAGTGTAACTACATTAGGATGGGATCCTAGATGTTGCATTATGCTCAATTCTCTGATCAGATCTTCTCGTTCCCTGGTAGCCGCATCTTCTTTGACCATTTTCACTGCCACTAGTCTGGTGAGACCTTCATGACCACTAATATCATCAGCTTCGGCTTTCCAAACTTGACCAAAATTTCCTTGGCCTAGGATAGTTTGCAAACGCAATTTCTCGCGCGGAAATTCCCATCTGCTATTATTCGGTAACGGTACAATATTGCTCATCTTTTCTGTATCCCAAACAATATGTTGAGGGACTCGAGGAAGTTTAGTAGTTAAAGGCGATGAAGTGATAGTATTGAAGTCTAAAGGACTACGATTATACTCTGACGAATACTCTGAACTGTCAAATACTTTTTTCTTCTTTCTTTGTATCACTAGTTTTAATGCAAATGCTATCACTAATATTAATGGAACAATGGCCAAGAACGTCAATAGATACGCCGACATGGTCAGTCCTTCGGGATAAATCACTCCGACCTCGTGTTCCGTCAAGAGTCGAGTGTTATTTTTTATTGGCCTCCTTTGCTTTGCTTCTATGGCTGCATTCTTTGTGGTAATATCAGGTAATGACTCTGAAGTGCCATTTACCAAATAAATATAATCTTGTAAATCGGATGGTGGCGACGAACTTTCACTAGTTGGTTCATTAGTCGTTGGAAGTTCAGTAGGCCCAGTACGTTCCGAATTTTGTAAAGGAGCGTATGATGATGCGTTGATTGACGATGTCCTTTCAGTGAAGGTTACTTTAGGTGATGAAGTAATAGATGTGGCATTCAACCGCCTCTGGTTGATTTTAGTAATTTCCAGATATTCAGGTAAGGAAATATTCCCATAACGATTCCTAAGATATTTTGGATACCCAGGGGTTTCAGTACTAGTTAGAGAAGAGGGTGTAGCAGAATCAGTAGACGAACTCTCAGAAAGCTCATCGTTTGTATCATTCTTCCCTTTTACAGAAACTGAAGTGACGACAGTTGACAATATTCTAGTAGCTCTTGAGTCTAATTCCGTCATACATCTTATATCTCTTTGTGATCGATATTTATTCCTTCTTGTATACCTTTGATATGCACAATCCACTGTTTGGGTTTCGGGTCGTCTCAAAGTAGTATTATTAGAATTACGAATTTGCTGAGTTCTATTATGAAAAGACACACCACTAATTCTTTCGGTTGTCTTTTCTTTGTTAGTTTCCGTTTCAGCTTTAGTAAAGCGGTCATCTTCAGTCGTAGACAGTATAACAGGAGACTTCATTGATGTTCTTGTTTGTAAATCAACAACATTCAATACCGTCGTAGATGAAGTGTGCCTAATTTTTTTACCAAAATCGAAATATGGATCTTCTTGTACAATAACTGTTTGTATAGCTCTAACTGTACTAGAAGCTGGTACAAGGCGTCTTCGAGTTTTAATCCGATCCGGTCTTTTGGTGGTAATATTTTGAACTTCGGACGCTTGAACCTCCATCTCATCATCCCACATACGCTTGTATTTTGTTTTCTTTTTTGTATGAAGTCTGCCCGATTCCATTTCTTCCGGTACATCTAATGTAGAAGGCCTTGGCTGTTGATTAGTTGGTATTGTTGTCCTTCTTTGAGCAATTCGAATTGCATTTCTCTGTCGGCGGTGGTCAGCTAAATTTCGGACTCCACCGATCGGTATGCCAGATGGCAATATGACCATCCACTCATCTAAAAATATAATAAAAGAACTGTATAATATTTGTTAATAAAAGTGTATTACATAAAAATAAAAGTTTATAAATCTTTTGATGTATTTTTTGACAATGAGTCGCCATTAAAACATTACACATTACAATGCATTGGTATTTCCAAAGATTTTGTAAAATAAAATAGGTAACATCCGTTTCTAATTCATAATATACATCTAAATATTATTGAGCTTGTGCATATTCATTTTTTATCAGTCCATTTTTTGTGGCAAGAGTTAATTATATAATAAGGCCACGCATCAAAATACCTTGTAAGTAGTGAGTTATCTCATTAACATGATTTAATATACTTATATTTATAAATTTAATTTAATATTGTTTTATTGGTTATTGATAATTATGATTTTTTATTGGGTGGTTAGCTATTAATTAATGATAAATAAGTGGCGTTCAAAATTTAGCTTTCAGAATAATCTAGTTAAAAACACACTTAATTTAAATAACAATACGCAAAGAATAATTGAATTGACTTTAGAATTATACAAAAAGAAGCTAGTTCCACATTAATTAACATTAAGTGTATTTAAAGTCATTGGTTAGCTATTTTAAAGTGACTGTAACCCGCGTTCAACATTAATTTAACCTAATTTAAACACATACGAGGCCACTCAAAATAATTTTAGTCGGTCAACTGAAGATTACAGCAGTTGTTGCTTTGATGACGTTAACCCCTGAAGGCGGCAGAGACCGGTTTATATACTGCATAACACTTTCTCTGTAGAGTATTTTTATAATGCATCTCTGAAAGTCATTAAAGCTTTATAGTCTATACAATTTTTTCTAAAAAATTGACCATTTTAAAAATATTGATACTACTTATAAAATCAAGGATAACAATTGGAACTAAAATACACGTAATCAGTTACAATATTCGAATCTTTATTCTTTAAGAAATTATTCTTTGGTATAAATTAAATAATAGGAGAAATAAGATAAATTATTATAGATATTTTTAAGTGGATATATATAATTGATGATTTACAAATTTTTAACTTTAACTTCTTACTAAGATGTTATTTGTATTTTTACTATCGGCTAATACATACAACAGACTCATTATTATTACCAGTCAACTAACAAACGCAAAGATATAGAGAGTATGTTCATAATTTACACCCTACTCTTTATTACGTTATGGTATATAATATCATTATAACCAACAGTAATGTCATTATTATTGTGCGGATATGATAACCAACGAGGTCGTGATCATTATTATTATTATCAACATCATTGTGTACTTTGACTATTCACTGAAGCATTAAAAATTTCACACCGTAGTTTTTATTTGCAATATAGAAGGCTTAATAATAGCATTTCAGATTTTTAATGGCTTTTTATTTCGCATTTTCTGACTGCCTTGCCGGATATTGATAACGCGTTATAATGATACTACTTAATCGTTATAATAATATTATCGGTTATTTTACAACTTCGCCTTTAATAACTCATTTCCTCGCAATTTCACAAACATTTGTATGGTTACCAAACTCTAAACATATGAAAGCAAGAAGAATACGGGTTCATCGGGTATATGCATTTAAGTTACAATTTTTTTCATTAAATACTTAATAATGAGTTCTGATAAATATTTATGTATGTACTAACGACGCACTTAGTTATATTTTATACAAAAAATCATTCCGCTACAATAATACAAATCTCACACTTTATATTTGATAATGTATAATTTATATTCTATTAAATATCGTACATTCCAAAAAGTGATAAAAATGGGCAGTAGTTTTATCCAATGGCGATTTTTGAACAGTAATAGATATTATTACTAACAGTAATATACAAATAATAATGTAAAATCATTTCTATACTATACAAGTGGTCTCAAAATAGTTTTAAAATGAAAAATTTAAATATTTTATTAAATTATTAGATGATTTTCTTTTTTGTTTTATCAATTATAAAAACTGATTTTCTTTAAACTATTCTATATGTATAAAATAAAATATTTTAAATGTAATTCATGTATTAATACCAAATTCGATTTTTTTTTAATTCTAAACAAATCAAATTATTTACTATTTTTTTCTGTTATGCTACAAGCTATATAATTAATAGAATATAAATAATAATTAACAGCAAATAAGTTTACATAATACATTTTTAATTGTTTTGTGGGTCTCAAAAATGTGGTTTTAGTTACATAGTACATAGTTTCTCCAAACTATATACTGTACTACGCATAAGATGAATTTATAGACACTATAATTTCAATTTCTCATATTATTTTCAAATTACATTAATCTAGTTGTTGAATCAATTTTTGGTAGTATACAACATAATCTATTAAAAATAAAACTATTATTACATATTGTAGTTGATCCAAATACAACTACCTGTTGCCTACTATTTCAATATAATACCTATTGAGTACGCTTATCGTTTTTCATACATAAAAAATATGGCTCATTAGATTATAAGCAATATTCTATAAAAGACCTTAACTCTAGGTGTTTAAATGCCTACACCCATTGATACATTAAGATACATAATGCACGTGCGTTGAACTCACTATTGCAATAGAACTGATAATGTCCAAATAAAATAAATCAAACCATTCACGATATATACTTTGGAGTTTGAGCACTCATAACCTGTCAACAGCTGTTATTCATCGACAATTTAGCAACGCTTGTTGTTTCAACAATCGAACAGCCGCCATTTAACAATTTGTCCGATAAATTTACATTCTGGTACTCAAATTGTTCAATAAATCATCATCACTATAATCGAGTATTCGAGTATGTCACATATGTCGATTCAAACACAATCGGCAACATTGTTTGAAGAAAAATTTTAATTCAATTGATCAACTATTGCACTGGGAGATGGCGAAAACAACGACGGACATGACACGTAATTCAAATTATTCTACCTCGTTTGTTCGGCCAAGATTTTTAGCCCAATTTTCTGTCATGTACGCGCATTAACTGAAATAATGTGCAAGTACATAGAGAACCAACAATGCAACGACGGGGTACACAAAACATAATTGTATGAACCGACGTTTTGTCATTATGTAATTATTGTTGCCATTGCGGTAAAAAAAGAATATATAATTCAATCGATCGATCGTGGTCAGCCAATATCATTTATCAATACGATACGCATAGTAAAAGAAAGACAGGCATGAATCTTGGGAGCTGTTTCGAAACACTTGCTTAGAAGTTTTGTCCGTTGTACTTAGTTTAGCATATTTGATTATGAATCAATAATAGATAACAGTAAAATTTCATAATGATAAAACAAAAGGTACTTCAATGGTAGGTCACATTTAAAGACTAAATAAAGGGTTGTTGATCTGCAAGTTAAATAAGTATACGTAATTTCACGGAAAAATTGTTCTCCTACTCGACTGTGTCTGTTACGTTTGATTTTATCTGTGGTACTTCATGCTTAAGAGTGCTCATTAAAATAAACATAAATATGATCTCACTTGCTCTGATAAATTAATAAATGTAGAAAGTCATGAACAGGGAAGTTTACGTTTTAAAAATTAATACTGAGAAGTATAAGTTATCTTATTAAAGATCATATAGGTTTCAAATTACAAGTTTTTTTAATGTCAAAAATTACCTAGAAGAAATTGTGCGATACTGTTGACTATAATATAATAATAATTTTCTATTTTATCAAAAATCACTTTCCATGCAAAACCGGTTTGGAACCTATTTTTAACAATATTCTTATCGCCAAAAAAGTAATAAATTGTATGGCTAACGTTACTTTTTCTCGAATCTAAATTATGTATATCCTTTTTAATAACAACAAATCATTTTTATATTGATATCCATTTATTTTTTAAAAATACATGGCAAATTAATACCATCGATTGAAAAGACTAACAGTCATGTTTAAAATCTGTACAAGATATCTTATATCTAAGATAATTTATTATGATTTTCATTGTACATTTTTTTTTAGTAACTAGTAACTGGTCCTCTTACTTCCAACTTGTTCATCCTCTCAATTGCAAAAAAAAATATAATACATGGAGTATTTGTTGTCTTCAGGGCCTGGCAAAAGACAAAGCTATCAATGCACTCACTTGGTGTTCCACACTTAAAAGAGTTTAACAAGCGTAAACAAAAAGAAAAAACAATGTCTTATTTACTAAAAACGAGCCCTGCAAAAAGTTCGTTGTTGAGTTCCACAATATCTAGCAACAGCGCTGGTTGTTTACATTGAAATAAAATCGTAAAATCCCAACTATAAAAAAAAAAAAAAAAAAAAAAAAAAAAAAAAAAAAAAACAGTAACAGTCGCATACTTTTTTTCCTATCATATATATACGACAGCCTAGTTCTTCAATATCGTGCAGAAGAGTAGTCATCCACGTCATTTACCACCAACACTATATTATAATGATGTTATGTATTGGATTAGTGCCTGTTACGACACGCTGCCGTAAGCCTGTTGTCGTTTCGCTAATCAATTTTGTGATACCACTCAGCACTTTATTATCTACTCTACAACGTTCGTGCTTCGGGTGAACGACCATCGTGATCGTGATGACCGGAGAAAGGTATCTCTAATAAACTTTGTTCACAGTAACCCATTCGTCAGTTGAAGAAATTTTATATAATTTTTTTCGATTTCTTAGAAATTTTTTCGGCGTAACACGACACCCAGAGTGTTCGAGTATTCTAATGAGTCGGCAATACAATACTAGCTTTTATTGTTATACTTCATTATAGACATAGCATACGGTTAACAATAATGTTTTCATTCATAACGTTGTAGTAAACGTTCACCTGCAGATCATAATAAAAACCACTCTCATTTATGGTACAGCATTATACGAGTATATATGTCGCGTAAAAGTTCGTAGACCCACATACAGGCCCAACAATAATTTTTAACCTCGAAGGTTTTGTTCTGAACACCAACTGCAGCTAATGTAAAAACCATCGCCGTCGGGTGAAGCAACCTCAAATAATTA